ATCAATCCCAGTTCATTCTCCCTCCCATTCTCCCATGTCTCCCACCAACCCCCCCATCCCATCTCCCATTCACTCCCCAGGGAGGGAGAGGCCTTCCATGAGGGATCATCAAAATCTGTCAAGTCATTTGGGGCAGGGCCTAGGAACTCCCCTGTGTATCTAGACTAAGAGATTATCCCTCCATGGGAAATGGGCTCCCCAAGTACATTTGTGCACTAGGGATACATCCTGGTTCCACTGCCAGAGGCCCTATAGACTGCTCAGTGCTCCTAGCTAACACCCACATTCAAGGGTCCTTGTTTGGTCCTTTGTTGGTTCCCCAGCTGGTGTCCATGAGTTCCCACTTGTTCAGGTCAACTGTTTCTGTGGGTTTTCCCAGACTTGATCCCTTTGTTTGTCACTCCTCACTCACTGAAACTAGGTGAAACTAGGAACCAGGAGTTGGGCTCAGTTCTTAGCTACAGATCTCTGCTTCTGTTTCCACCAGCTACTGGATGAAGTCTCTAGGATGGCATTAAAGTAGTCATCATTCTCATTATATGGGAAGGGTATTTAAGGTAGCCTCACCACTATTGCTTAGGTTCCTAGTTGGGGTCATCCTTGTGGATCTCTGTACAATTCCCTAGTGCTGGAAATAGAAATATAGCTTCCCTTTTATCTTAAGGTATTATTATTATTATTATTATTATTATTATTACTATTATTATTATTATTTGGTTTTTTGAGACAGGGTTTCTCTGTGTAGACCAGGCTATTTTTCAATAAGTAAGTTTTAGTGCATTCCTTCCCTTCTTCACTGCCCCATACTTCTGTTGCCATGCTCATTTTAGGTCACTGTGTCATTGCCTTTGTACTCCAGGCTCCCTCCTGTGAGTACTATGTGATTTGATTTCTTCTATTCTTTCTGTTTCCTCACATCTCCAGGATATTTATTTCACAGTAGTATCACAATCATCACAACTTGTTCTCAGATTTCCATTCTCACCTATCAGCATCTCAATTCTCAATTCTGCCCAGTAACACTGAGGGATGCTTCCCATGGTATAAAGGTAGTAATCTGAGAAGTAGGCTGACTTCCACAGTTCACTTTGGCTCTAAAAACCCCAGGTTTCTAATTTAGAAAATAATCATGTGTGTAGCTCACATCATGTATAACAGATGACATCCAGACCTTTGCTAATAATTGTGATAGTGAGCATTAGAGATATTGGTAAGGGGTATATGCATTACATGATTTTTAAGTGATTTATATATAGTTATAAACAGAGACAAAGTATTAGTCATTATTAATGTCAGTTTGGCCTATAGCTTTGGTGCTAAGGTTCTACTGTGTCAAGAAGTGTAATGTTGATTTTAGTTTAATTTCATTATCAGTACAACTGTTTTTCCTGGGAGATTGTGTGCAGCTCTCAGTACACATTGGAAAATTTTAAGTGCTTTAAAAAATACTAATGTGTAGCCAGATGTAGTGGTACACACTTTTAATCCCAGAACCTGGGAGGGAGAAGCAAAATAATTTCTGATTTTTTGGTTGTTTTTTTTTCAAGACAAGTTCTTTCTGTGTAGCTTTGTAGACTAATCTGGCCTTGAACACATAGAGATGTGTCTGCCTCTGCCTACTCAGTGCTGGGATTAAAGGCATGCACTACCACCACCTCCCAGCTGAGTTCCTAATTTCTAATTTCAAGGCCAACCTAGTATACATAGTGAGTTCCAGGACATTCAGAGCTACATGGTGAAACCCTGTCTCAAAACACAACAAACAAACAAACAAAAACACATGTACAAGAAAAGAACATCTAATGCAATGTGGCTGTTCCCAGAGGTATTGAAGTAATTGGCCTGAGATATAGCTTGGGCATTAAATTTTTTCCATGCTGTAAGATATTAAGAAAAATCTGTCCACTTGCAATCTCTATGTCTCTCAGTGTCCCCACACTCCTATCTTCTAAACCCTGTCTGGACATTTGCCATTAATGCTCTTGTGTTCGTTAATCCATTGATTGCTTCAGAGACTGGATAACCAAGTAGGATCACAAAGTCAATTGAGCATGCCAAACCAGGAGATGACTAAAATGGATACTTTGATAATTTGTCAAATGGGTCTTTTAGAGTTCTGAACCCATGGCACCCCATTGTGTGTCCTCACTGTTGAGTTAGATGCCAGTTCAGCCCCTTTTCATCCTAGTCAGTCAATTGACAATGAAATCCTCTTAGGACATGGTGATGTGTACCACAAACATCATGAGTTCTAGGCTAACCTTGGCTGGCACAGACTGGCAGAAATGTGTTGGAATAGGGGAAAAGAATCCTGGGAACTCTGAAAAAAGAAAAGAATTAACTTTCTTTTTTCATCTTCTATGCACATCTTTTGAAATTGGTTTTCTATTCTGGGATGATGTTGGGCAACATGTGAATCAGTAAGTCAAATCATTTTTTAAGATCAAGTCACAAATTTTACTTGTTTATTTTTATTGAAAATAGATTCTTCTCTTGTAAATACACCCCCTAACCATAGGTTCCCCTTCCTCCATTTCTCACCAAGATATACCCTCTCCATTTCCCTTCAGAAAAGAGCAAACCTCCAAGACAAGGACAAAACAATAAGATAAGGCAACTCTCCTCATACCAAGGATGGGCTAGACAATACAATAGGAGGGAAAAAAACTGGTCTCTCTCTAACCTCATCATTAAGTCTTTGTGAATTTTATGGATGTGTTTTAGTTTTATTTATTCCCTTCCCAAACTCCTCCCAGATTCACCACCTTTTTGTACCCATTCAACTTTGTGTGTTTTTTTAATACCATCAAATACAATTTGTGCTGCCTTTATAGACTTTGACTTGGGACCTTCCACTGGAGTGTTCTCAATTTATCAGGGATACTCTTAACAAAAACTGAGTTTTATTCTCCTAACAGCTGTCAATGACCAATAGTTTCTTAGTTAAGAGTGGATGCCTGTCATGTTCCTTTAGGCTTGGGTCCTGAAACACTGGCTAGGGCCAGCAAAGAAAGGACATACATAGAGACACACAATCAAAGAAGTTGGCATCAGGTGGAGTTCTCTAATCACTACCACCACAGCCCAGAACCTCATGTTTCTTAGGTACAATACACAAGGAAGGGTTAGCTGGTTTAAATAGGAGATCTCTGTAGGTTAGTAGTCTCAGGCTGTAAACATCCCAGAGGAAGAAGCTGTAATTGTTAGTCTTTGCACACACTGATCAATCTCTCATAAAACTTCATGCTCAGACTCTTGAGGAAAGCTTTCCCATCTCTCTTGAACCTGGCCCACACAGGTAATGTCTTTGCCAGTTTACCATGGACCATTTAGTGTCAGAGTCCTTGACTGTTCTTGCTTATGTCAAAACACGTGTTCACCTAGGACTTCACTCACTCAATGCTTAATTTCATTTCTTCAGGAACCCACCTCTGCCCTTCTGAATGTTTGTCTTGGACTGAGCCTGCTGAGGTTTAATTAATTTTTCTCAACTGCCATGAATTCATGTTTGCAATCACCCTGCTGTATTAAAAAAATCACTGTTAACTTGTAGTCATCTATAAGCCAGTTGTACCAGGGAGCTGTTCAGCATTTTTTGTTTGTTTTTGCTCAGCCTATCTGTCAGTCATTTCTAATCCCCATGTTTATGATCTGTGCTGATAACCAACTTTAAACTAAATATATAATGTGATATGATCATGTAAGTCAAACTCCCTACTGCTAACCATAGAGGTTAAAAGTACTTCACCATCATAAAATGCAAACCTGGGGAAGACTACATTACTGTTATGAGAATCTAGCCAAGTAACATATACAATCTTCTTTGTTTCTTTTAATTAGTTTTGTATGTGTGTGTTAATTCATGTCTCTAATATCACCAGAAGACTGAAGCAGGATATTCAGTGTTTTGAGACTATTCCAAGCAACATGGAAATTGCTAGGCTAGCCTGACATACATAGTGACAAATTGTCTCAAAAGAAAAAATAACATTTACTTGCTTCTGTTTGATACAGTAGGTTGATGGTAGAGGAGTTCTTTGCTCATCACTAAAAACAAACTCCAAATTAAAGAAAAACTGGGGGAATTGTTTATTTTGTGAGACAAATTCTCGGTATGCAGTCCTAGCTAGTCTAGAATGCACTGTATAGATAAGGTTAGCCTAGAATTCAGAGATATGCCTGCCTCTGACTCATAATCCTGGGACTAAAGGTGTGCTTCATCATGCCCAGTCCTGAAACTGTCTTTCAAGTATAACTTGCATATATCAAAAATCATAAACTAAGTACATTATTACTATTTTTGTAATGTATATAAACTTGTATAAACATCACTTTTCATTAAAGAAGGAATACACTATATCCATCACTTTGGGTGGTCACCAGAATCAATGACTGTTATAATTTCTGAAGTTAGGCTTTTTAATTAATAAGTTTAGTGGGTATTTTAAGTGATTAATTTCATCCTTGTTCTGTGACTGTCACAATAAATTACTCTGGAAGCTTTCTTTCTAATTAAGTTTAAAAAGTGAGAATGTGTATTCACTTGAGAGTTCAAATAAATAAGCCATGCATGAATCGATTGTATCTTGTTGAGAATGGACTTTTAACACACAGCCCAATTCAATACTGGGTTCAATGAAAATGCCATCTTATCTAGATTAAGTATCTGTTCCTGAACCTTATTGCTTTGAAACTGCAATCATTCTCAATTACCTCTATTTTATCTAAATTTTGTGTTAGATGCCTCTTATTCGAGTAGATGCTATTAAGGGATGTTAAGAGGCAATTTCACACAGCTCAACTGTAAGCCTTGACTGAAACTAATATTAATTAAAATGTGATTAAACATTCTGTGTTATTGTTCATATTAGAAATGTAAAGTGCCCTTGATAAGAAGTCATGGCATATTATCAATGCTTAATTAAAACTATGCCTCTTCTTTCTCCTTATTTCTTTCCATCCAACTGTCCTCATGTTGTTATTATTATTATATTTTATAGCCACAGTCTTCCTTGAGTTTTGGAAAAGAAGAAGAAGTATACTGACTTATGCCTGGGACCTTATTGAATGGGAAGAAGAAGAGGTAAGATATCAGGAAAGCAGAAGTTAAGGAATCTGGGGGATCATATAAGGCTCAGAGCACCTCATGCTCAGACCAGGAACAGATTCACATGATTACATCACACTGACAAGATTCCTCACTTCATCAAGGTAACAGGGGTCAAGGGCCAAGGGTATATTGTTAAAACTATTTCTATGTTTTCTTAGAGGGGATCCAAAGAAAACTGTGTTAATTAAAATACATCCATGGGTTTACTTGAATTGCAGTGGTACTGTTCTTTAAAAGATTGAATCTTTGAGCAAACAGCACAAAAGCAGGCTGTTTAAGAGCTTGTATTAGTTCTTGAAATATTTTTGTTTCATATTTGTGAACTTGCTATTTAGGTAACCATAGTTTCTCCCATAGGAAACAGTTCGCCCCCAGTTTGAAGCAAAATATTACAGGATGGAGGTGATAAACCCCATCACAGGAAAACCTGAGCCTCATCAGCCTTCATCCGACAAAGTCACACGTCTTCTTGTGTCTGTCTCGGGAATCTTCTTCATGGTAAAATATAGTCATCTATATGAGACTGCTGTGGGATTTCCAGTTTAGGATAATCCGGCATACCAGCTCATCTTGTACTCCAAACAATGCAAAAGAAAATTACTCTTTCAGTCTCTCTGTCTCTCTGTCTCTGTCTCTGTCTCTCTCTCTCTCTCTCTCTCTCTCTCTCTCACACACACACACACACACACACACACACCACATATTTGGACACCACCGTTTGTGATATTTTATTAGAGCATGTTAACATCTCTTTGAAGGAAACACTTATTACAAGAACAGTTATGTAAAGTGGAAATTCTGAGAATTGGTCTCTACAAGTGAAATGTCCCGTTAGAACTAAGCAGTCTATGTGAAAGATAAACTTTAGATAGAATTTGCACTTTAGTGTGACAATTCTTCTCTATGCTAAAACAGTGCAAGCGTTTCTTGTTTCTGTTTTGGCTTCCTGTATTCTAATTTATTTATTTCATTACAAATAGTCCTTGGGTCCTGGGGATTGCATTGAGGGTTCTAGATATGCTGGGTGGGTGTATATTGTAGCAATGAGTTCCTATTTGTTCATTTAATATAACAGATAAAGTGTGTACTTAGCACATGAAACATGATGTTTGGAATGTAACAATGTAATGAATGTAATGTAACAATGAAACAAATGTAATGCTTAAGTCTAGCTAACTAAAATATTTTACCCTATAGCATTGGTATGTTTAAGCTTAAATCTTACATTGTTTTCTAACTTTCTCCGTTAAAGGAGACAACATTACTTATGTATCCTTTCCCAGAAAGATAAATGTCTTCAACTTTTGGAGTATTAATTGGTGGTTTGCTTGTCATTATTTAGTAACATAAAAGACAAGGTTCCACTTTACCCCCTCCCTCTCCCCCTGCAGATCTCCTTGGTCATCACAGCAGTGTTTGCAGTTGTAGTATACCGTCTGGTTGTCATGGAACAGTTTGCATCATTCAAGTGGAATTTCATCAAACAGCACTGGCAGTTTGCTACATCGGGTGCTGCTGTCTGTATCAATTTCATAATTATCATGCTGCTGAATCTTGTAAGTGTTTATGGCATAATTTTTCAATATGCACAAAACAGTGAGAAAGGACTATATTTCCTTAGTTGTGTATGTCTGTCTATGTGTGTGTACATATATATTTCTGTTCCAAACAGATCATTTTAACACGAAGTTTTTTTATTTTTTATTTTATTATTTTAATTTGAAATAGCTTCCTTCACATGTCAATCCCAGTTTCCTCTCCCTCCCCTCCTCCCATACCCTCCCATCATCCCCTCCCAGCCTCCCACCCTATCGCTGCTTCCTTCTACAAAGTGGATATCTACAGTCTGTCAGTTCACTCAGGGCAGGGTCCAGGCACTCCCCTAAGAGTCCAGGCTGAGAGAGCATCCCTCTTTGTGTTATGGACACACAAAGTCCGTTTGTATGCCAGGGATAAACACTGATATACTGCCCAGGGCCCCATAGTTTGCCCAGGCCTCCTCACTGACTCTCACACTCAGGGGGTGTGGATCAGTCCCATGCTGGCCTCCCAGCTGTCAGTCTGGGATCCCAGAGGTCCCCCTTGTTCAGATCAGCTGTCTCTGCTGGTTTTGCCAGCCCATTCTTTGCCAATTTGCTCATCGCTCCTCTCTCTCTGTCACTGGGTCCCATGGGTTCAGTTCAGTGTTTGACTGTGGGAGTTTGCCTCTGCTTCCATCAGTCACTGGATGAAGGTTCTAGGATGGTTATAGACATCAAGTTCATTATCAGGAATGGGCATTTAAGGTAGTCTCTCCACTATTGCTTAGCTTGCCAGTTGGTGTCATCCCTTTAGATCACTAGAGGTCTCACTGGTGCCAGATCTGTCTTCTAACCTATGATTCCCTCTTTCCCCTTATTTTACCCCCCTAGCTCCTACTCTCCTCCACTCCTCGCTGTGTTCCCAATCTGTTCAGAAGATCTTGCCTCATTCCTCTTCTCTGAGGTACCATGTAAATCTCCCTTAGGTTCTTTCCTGTTTCCCAGACTCTCTGTCAGTGGAAGTGCAGACTGGCACTATCCTGATCCATGTCTAAAATCCATATATGAGTGAGTAAATACCATGAAGCTTTTCATCTAGCTTTGTTTTATCACTAGATTCTTTTGTTTTTCATTTTCCATTTTTTTGAGACAGGGTCTCACTACACAGCACTGGCTAGCCTGAAGCTCACTATGCACACCAAGCTGTACTAAAACTCACAGATATCTACCTGCCTATGCCTCCTGAGTACTAGAATTAAAAGCATAGAAATGACATAAAACTTTACTTGAGTCTATCTTTCTAGGATACACACACGCACGCACACACACACACACACACACACATATATATATATATATATATGTCCTATTCAAAATCATATTTATCCTCAGCTAAGTTTCTTACCAAAGGTTCTTTTTTTCTTAACCCTTCTAAAGCAAAATTTGGCTAAGTTGCCACAGATACACCAGACTCTAGTTTCACTGTTCCAGTTGTTATCATTAACCCCCTAAACTGGGTTTTATTCCACAACTCATCTCTGTCCTGAGTTACCACCATTGGCTAGAATCACAACTGACACACATGCAGTTTTCAATATCTCCCTTAAACTTCTGATGCAGGAACTGGAATATGGTTCAGTGGGTAATGTTGTTGCCATACAAATATGTACCTGAATTTGGATCTCCAGAAACCATATAAAGCTAGACATTGTAGTGTGTACCCACAATTGCAGTGCTCCTACAGAGAGATGTGAAATGGAGACAGAAGAGTCCCAGGATGTTCCTGGGCCATTTAGCAGGCCATATACTACAGCCAACACCAAAAGACTATATCTCCAAGTAGAAGCTGGTCACAGGTACAGATGTCCATGTGCACACTATGACATGTGCCAGCCCGCATCTCCAAATACAAACATATGCAAGACCTCTCTCACACACACACACACACATAAACACACACACACACACACACGCATACAGATACACACAATAGTAAAAAAGGTAACATATTCAAGGCCAATGAAATGGCTTATCAGTAAAAATACTTGAGTTTCATCCTTGAGACCCTCTGGATGGAAGGAGGAAACTAACTCCTTCAGGATGTTCTCTAACCTTTAATGTCACAATCATGCATAGCAACACACACATACACACACAAAAAAACTGTAAAAATATTTTAAAGAAGAAAAATTATTCAGATACAACGTTTTCTCGCTAAGTGTCTGTTTTGGGTAGAGGCCTAATATATTTTTATTTATACAAACAAAGATTAAAGTCAATAAAATGAATGTCCACCTCTGAAGAAGCCAACCCTAATTCAGCCATCAAGTCACTCATTCTAACAGCCTTGCAGTCTTACTACCCCTACTCAGTGACTCTGGAGCTCTAGAGTTTTTTAATACTGCAAATCCAATACCCAGAGCTAAGAGAACTCAGGTTCAACCAGTTTTCTATTTTCATGTAATTTTGTTTGTTGGACATTTTTGCATTGACATTAAAAGATTGTTAGATTACAATTTCTTCTTCCCCCTTACAGAATGCAGAAGATTTGTAAGTTGGTTTAGCATAAGGAAAGTAAGTAAGCAGTCATTTCAACCAATGTGAAAATTACATTCTTCAGAGTCAATCAGTGTAAGTTAATAATGCTCTTTAGAAATTACATATTTGCTTCCTATCCAGAATGTTAAGGCACCTCACAAATTATTAGACACTCTTTCCAATTCACCTGAATATACAGGATTAATTTAAGAGCTTAATACAAATAAAGATACAATAAAATGTCAAATATTATATTATCAAATTTTCATCTGACTATCCAAATGCTACCTCTTGTTATTTTTCAGGTCAAATTCAATACTCAGCTTTAAAATGTGCTTATGAAGGACTAAGTAAAGATATTCTGTCAGTCTAATGTGCTTTTCAGCTGTAATCTAAATGCATTAAGTTATGAAATGTAGAAATGAAAAATTACTTTAAATCATCAAGCATTCATCTTTAAATTAGGAGTCTTCTGGGCTCTTTAGGAAATATGTTATTACATAAACCATGCGCTATTCTAGTGCATTCTTTTTTTTTGGTCCTATTTCTGATTACTTGTGAATTTTGTTTCTGAATCGCTATTATCCAGGCTCTGCTCAGTATTCTCCTATCTATGGTTTTTGTTTGGTAGTAGGTACCTAACAACTCAGTCTTCCTGTGTCTTTCTCAGACCTTCCCTCACTGGCCATAGACATTGAAATGTGTCAATGACATATTTGAACAATCCCTTTTGTACCTGAGAGTGACTAATGGTTTTCATTCCCTCCAATGTAAATTATAAATTTTTTAGCTTAGTAAACGAGACACTGCTCTATTTAAGCCGGTTTTTCCTTTCTTTTGTCTAAAGCTGCTCCTCCCTCTGTCTCTCTCACCCTCCCTCCCTCCCTGCCACCCTCCTTTCCTCCCTCCCTCTCTTGTCTGCATTCCAGCATGAAGAACCCCTTTCTCTGGTACTGAACTTTGTTAATTCACACTCCCAGTTTCTTGGTTCACAGAGCTTTCTCTGTCTGAAATGTTCTTTTTTCCTTTAGTATCCTTGGAGAATATCTCTTCATCACTGAAAATAACAATGAAGGATCACTTCCTCCATAAACCTTTTTCTGGGTCCCATATGTAGAAGAGAATTATATCTTTGTTTTTATTCTTGTCATGAGGTTCTTGAACTGCCTGTTGTTTTCCATCCATGGGAGTCACTAAATTAATTAATACTTTTCTCCCACTGTTAAAATGTTGAGTTTACTTAGCTCAGCCCATAGCTTCCTTAATCTAGGTCCCCAGGTCTTTTTTAAAAATATTTGCATAGCATTTAAAATATATCCTTTGAGCAAATTGTATTTTACTTTACAATGTCCTAGTATCCTGTATATTATGTGGCCAAGTTAATTTTTGTTACTAGAATTATATTCTTGGTGTGTTTCCAGTTTTCAGTTATATTTTAATTTAAACTAAACCAAAGACTGTACTTCCCACAAGCACATGCAAATTTTGAAAGAAGTGTATCATTATACGTCTAAATAAATATTCAATTGAGGAAAGAAGTATGTTCTACTGCAATCAAAATTTAAACACATTTCCATTATACTAATCATGAAAGTAATTTTAAAAGCATGTCCCAATCAAACTATGAATTAAATTGTCTGCAGAACCTCCTTTGTGGAGTTAAGAAAACTGTATTAAAAATAAAACATTCTAAAATTCTTTGTTGATTCTGATCTAGTCAGTCCCTAAAACCACTAATTTGCAACATCTAAAATAATAGTGATACACAGCCAAGATGCATCTTCAAGCAATAGATCATAAATAATTCAAGCACAATTAAAAAATTTCAATTTCTTCTTTTAACATACACTTGCCAAAAATACACCTGTAAATCTGAGAGGGCAGAATTTGAAGAATGGTTGCTTCCTAGACCCACCCCCTTTCTAACTTTGTTGAATTCTGACTCTACCCTTGTTGCAGTTGATACCGTAATTCCTATTATGTCTGCAAACGTTCCCAAAAGTATTGTGATGAAAACAAAATGTGAAAATTGCTCCAAAAATATATACTCTTGCTACTTGACAGTGAAGCTTTAACTGATTTTGTCATATTATAGTAAAATAATAGCTGCTTGGCACTGTAATTAAAGAGTGATTCTTCAATAAAAACACAAAAGGAAAGAAAGGAGAGCTAAACAGCTGTCCTCCTGTGCTTTGAAACTTCCAGGAATAAGTCACCCAAACCTTTACTACAAAGGTGGTCACAGAATGGTCTCCTTTGAGTACTTCTGTGATCATAAATGTGTTTAGCAGTCAAGAGTGTATAATACTGGGGAAGAGAGCTCTGATATGTTGGCTAATGTAAACCATCCAGGTTAGCTCTGTAGTCCTCTCCATCTGGATATCTCTCTGTAGAGACCAGAGCATATATTACTATTTTTCCTTCAAGTATCCAATCACTGCAACAGAAAACATCAAATATACATACATTTGTCTTTCCTGAATAGCTAGATATCTCATCACCAATTATGTCAAATAGGTTATTATAGAATAGGGTGGGTCAGAGATTTGGGCCACACCTCTTAACTAGGTTATTCATGCCTAATGACTCATTTAATAAAAGGCTTTACTTTGTAAAAACAAAACAAAACAATGTGCTTGCTTGATGTGTTCATGCCCATGTCTGTGATCATGGTTTCTAGAAATCTAGAAGTTACAGATACTAGAAGAAGAGTCTCTTATACTCTGCAGGCAGGTCTATTTAGAACTCATGTACACAGTGGAGGCTGGGCAGTTATGCTCTGATGCAGAGACAACACACATTAAAACATGCCAAGCTCCCTGGTGTGCCCACCCTGCTTTTGCTGTTCTTTTCTTTCCAGTTTATTTTTACATAATGCACCACCAAAGCATTAGTGGAAAGCTGATTCCTCTAAGCTCAGAATGAATTCTATAATGATTATCATGGCCAAAAAATGCCCTAGAAACAAATTCCCCTCTAGGATTACTCTGGCTTATCAATTACTAATTTACTCTGCTGTTTCTGCCACTGCTGTCCTAAATCTGTATCCATTGTGATGAGATTATCAGCGTCAGAAGCATTGTATTCATGTTCATGCTCCCAATGTATTTACTCAGTACACATTTTTGCTTATCACTCTTCCTTGCTTCTGAACGAAGTGTCATGTTCTTCAAAAGGATTTCCTACTGCAAAGCAATATTTTTAACCTATTTGTTTATTTTGTTTTGTTTTCAAGACAGAGTTTCTCTGTTTAACTTTGGCTGTCTTGGAATTCACTCTGTAGACCAAGCCAGTCTTGAACTCACAGACATCTTGTCTCTGTCTCCCCAGTGCTGAGAGTAAAAGATGTGCAAACAGAACCCCAGAGAAGCTAGGAAGCAAGGAGGGCCCTAAGAGAGACACTAATGGTCCCCCAGAGAAGGGGAGAGGGACATAATCTCCTGAGCAAATTGGGAGCATGGAGGAGGGGGGAGGGAGGTAGGTAGGAGGAAAGGGACTGGGAGGAGAACATGAGGGATCAGGAAGATCTAGGCGAGGGAAGAATAGAGAAGGAGAGCAAGAAACAAGATACCTTAATAGAGGGAGCATTTATAAGTTTAAAGAGAAATCTGGCACTAGGGATTCACAAGGATGATCCCAACTAAGTATCTATGTAATAGTGGAGAGGCTACCTTATAATGAGAGTAATGACTACCTTAAATGCCATCCCAGAGACTTCACCCAGCAGCTGATGGAAGCAGAAGCAGAGATCCACAGCTAAGCACTGAGCAGCACTTCTGGAATATAATTGTACACAGGGAAGAGTGATGAGTAAGGGGTTAAGAACATGCTGGGGAAACCCACAGAAAGAGCTGACCTAAGCAAGTGGGGAATCAGCTTAGGTTGAACAAGGCCCCCTGAACCTGGGTGTCAGTTGGGAGGCCAGGCAGTCTATGGGGCTTCTAGCAGTGGAACCAGTATTTATCCCTAGTGCACGAACTTTGGAAGCCCATTCCCTATGGAGGGATACTCTCTCAACCTAGATACATGTGAGAGAGCCTAGTCCCTGCCCCAAATGATGTGACAGATGATGCCTCATGGTAGACCTCGCCCTCTCTGAGGGGTTGGTAGCAGGCATGGGAGAATGGGAAGGAGAGGAAACCGAGATTGGTGTGTAAAATAATGTTACATTATTTAAATGAGAAATAATTAAACATTACTAAAGTTAATAAAAATTGATAAAATAACTTTATATGAGCAAGAGTAGTTCTGCTTACTGTTTGTAACAGTGGGTAATTTTGGAAGATCTCCAATGTGGTATCCTGTGTACTGTGTAGGGGCTAGAATCAGAAGGGCTGTCTACAGTCCTCCTTGTATTTACCTCCCCCAGTTATACAGCTATTCCACTACACATACTCAAATTCACGCAGAGACAATCTGCTCTCCCAACACAGTTGCTGCCATATACCATACATTTGAATGTGTTTAACTCATGGGTGATTCCTGTCTTTTTACTTGGATTTAGCAACTTGTTTTGTGAACTGCTTGTGGTGCCAGTTCACCATGCCATTTGGGTCTAGACTATTCAGGTTCTTCACTAACCTGTATAAGTCTCTAACAGCTATTTTTAACTATCTTCCAAGTGCTTTTGTCATCTCTTTGGACATCCAGCTAAAGATATTTCACTTATAGATGGGTTCTATGTGCCAAGTACTAAAATGATGCATAGGTATTGAAAGGTATTCATAAAAGAACATTCGTATTTAACTCTTATGGTACTTATTACTTAGTATTTTATTCTATGAGGCCATGTGCCAGATATTCTCAGTGTTAATCCCCTGTTCTGTAAAATGGGGTTATTGTACTCATTTGACAAAATTGATGTATATAATTACTGTATGGAAAGGGCCGGCACAGGTGAAATGCTGTAAATGGCAACTATTTAAACAGAATCGGTTTTCGGTCTGCATGAGCACATTCAGCCCAATACTGACAAACAATGGCTGCTCAAATGTTATTTGTAAGATGATAAACTCCATCCTGTTAAAATTCTGTCTTCATAATGGGGGCATGGAAAAGGGCATGGTACAATGAGAATAACGTGTACTTACAAAACCAAAGTGATTCTGTTTATAATTTGAAAAGGTTAGCTCATGAATAGAAGTAAAATAAAAACTAAGTCCAAACAAAATGCTGCACTAGAGAGAGAAGATATTTACCTAATATAATCTGTCTCAAGAGAGTCTTGATCTTAAAAAGAGGTAGATTTGGATCTTTGCTAATATGAAATAGCAATAGTTTTATTGAAAGAGCATTCAGGGAATGTCGAAAATTCTTTGAATATTTAGGTACATTCCTTGAATTTTAATACTTTGGACATGGCTATTGTTTTGTTCTAAGGTTCTTTTTTTTTTTTTTTTTTTTTTGGTTTTTCGAGACAGGGTTTCCCTGTGGCTTTGGAGGCTGTCCTGGAACTCGCTCGGTAGACCAGGCTGGTCTCGAACTCACAGTGATCCGCCTGCCTCTGCCTCCCAAGTGCTGGGATTAAAGGCGTGCGCCACCAACGCCCGGCTGTTCTAAGGTTCTTTATATGTATATACATATGTCTAGGTGTGTGTATGGCACATGTGTATGAGGACCTGATCAGGGCAGAAGAGGATATCAGATCCCCTGAAGCTGGATTGACAGACATTAGTGAATCTCATCTCAGTCATTAACTAACTGAATGAATTTTGGTAATTTTTGTTTTAGTTTGGGGAGTATGTATTCAATGAAAATAAAAATAGCAACAAAGATTTACTTTGCAGATAATAAGGTGTCTACATGTGTGCATATATGTTTTTAAACTCAATCATAGTTCAGCTATTTTGTGTGTATGCATCTAGAACACTAAATCCTGTGTTAATAAATTTACTTTGCTAAAAATGTATCCTCCTTGTAGACACACTTTAAATACTTCTTTGAAAAATGTAAATTCTAACACTATATAAAGTAGAATAATATTTATCTTTATATTCCTTTTCAGGCTTATGAAAAAGTTGCATACCTCCTCACTAACTTAGGTAGGTTCATTTCCTTTATTTTACTTGTAGTAAGTGAATAACTCTGTTCACATTAGTCTTCAGATATTTTGTGTATGCTACCATTTTTATGTCTTCAGTTATGCAAGGATTTGAAAATTAACCACAGAGAGGTGGAGCTAGAAGTTGATCTACATTAGACAGCACAAGGGGGCAAAGTATGTCATCAGAAACTATTCACCAAGAAGCAAGGAAACTTATTTAACATTTACTTGGGAAACTGTTTCCCGAATTTCCCAGTTCTTCAGCCAGCTCCATGTGTGCGGGGGGGACTGGGGGAGTAGTCACAAACATGTTTAGACCTCTGTGTGGAGGTCAGTGGAAATCTGGAAGGAAATGATTTGATTCTTTCCTCCCATCAAGCAGAATTTAGGCTCTGGAGTAAGAATACATGGGTTGAAGTATGTGTTCTACAACATATTCTAGTTAGGTATAAAGTAGTAATCAACAGCCTTGCTTCTTGTCATCTTAAATTCATTACTTAAAATAAGGATTCCTTCCTTCCTTCCTTCCTTTCTTTCTTTCTTTTTCACTTCTTTCGTTCTTTCTTTCTTGGGTGTGTGGGGGGGCGGGACGCAAGACAGTGTTTCTCTGTGTAGCCCTGAATGTCCTGGACCTTGCTATGGAGCCTTAACTGGCAAGGAACTTAAAAGATCTGCCTGTTTCTGCTTCCTGAGTGCAGAGATTAAAGGCATGCACCACCACATGGCGAGGATAGCATTTTCTAAGAATTTCATTTAGTACTGTTGTGATATATATGAGTTTTGACCCACGAGCCCTGAAGAATAAAAATAGCAATGGAAAGCAGTTGACCTCTTGTTGTTGGAGAATATTAAGTTTCATTTCTATCTGTTTGTTCCTTTTATCTCTATATTTTGATGTCTTTCTTGTAAAAGACTTTCCTGAAGTACTGGGTAAATAATAACTCACTTGAAGTTTTGCCTACATTTGTTTAGTGTGTGTGTGTGTGTGTCTGAAAACTAACTTCAGAGTCAGTTTTTGACTCCCACAACGTGGGCTCCAGGAATTGAACTCAGGTGTCTGGTTTGGCAGTAAATACAAGAAAACAAAGAAAAACAATGTACGCCTGACTTCTTGTGTTTGGACTGTCTATTGGCTACCAGCCACATAGACTGGAAAAAATTCTGTCCTTCGTGCAAACAATCCCAACTGTTACAATTTTAGATAGTATCTTAGATTTGACAGTTTCCCTTCAGAGACACATTTACATCTGTTTGGTCCACATCATTGTCTACTGCCTCAGGAAAATAGCTATGGCTTTCAGCATATATGTGTGTATACAGCATCTTCCGCAGGGTCCTCCAAGTCATATAAGTATTGATTTATTTTGCTATAGTACTTCTGATTCTTCTTGCTTTCTATCATCAGAAAGAATGTTTCAATATTCTTTTTAGGGATTTCCATTCTTCAGTCACTAGCTCCATACTCAGATTTTGTTTCAGCCTCAGCTAATGTAGTTAATAATTATTCCAATTATTTTTCGCTTTTTAGGAAGCAGAATTCTCCCATCTTCTGGCTTCTTCTTTGTCCTAGTCTCCTTAGCTTTTATGCTTCCATACTAAAACTTACTTGAATACTTAGTTTGGGGTGATTTGGAAAGGATTCACTGAATGCATATATTGCAAATACTAAAAGAAAGTAAAAAGGAAAGACAAAGAAAAAAATGTGAATGAGATCAGTTGATTTCTTGACATTTTGGTTGTGAGAATAGCCTTTAATGGCTGAACAATCTCTCCCGTCCAAGAATCATTGCTTAAACAGTTATATAATAACATATTTTTCTTCCCCATCAAAATTAACATAAGCTATATTCCAAGATTCTATATTGCCAATGACTACAATTAGGAGGGAAACAGTATGAAGTATTTTTGCTTGTTTAGTTTTATTTTATTTAAATTTAAATTAGAAACAAGGTTGCTTCACATGTTAATTCCAGGTCCCTCTCCCTTTCACTCCGCTTCTCCTGCACCCTCCCACCACCACCCCAAATATCCCCTCATTTCACCAGGGAGGGTGAGGCCCTCCATGGGGTGTCCATAGTCTGTCATTTCATCCAGGGCAGGGCCTAGACCCTGCCCCAAGAGTCCAGGGTGAGAGTGCATCTCTCATTGTTGGATGGAATCCCAAAGTCCATTTGTATACCCGGGATAAATACTGATCTACTACCCAAGGCTCAATAGATTACCTAGGCCTCCTCACTGACACCCCCATTCAGGGTGTCTTGATCAGTCCCACGCTGGATTGCCAGGCATCAGTCTGGGAATCAAGAGCTAACCCTTGTCAGGTCAGCTATTTCTGGGGGTTAAACCAGCCCAGTCTTAACCCCTTTGGTCATCAGTCCTCCCTCTCTGGCACTGGATTTCTTGAGTTCAGCTCAGTGCTTAGCCATTGTTTTTGTTTGTTTGTTTGTTTTGTTTTGTTTTTTGACAGGGTCTCAGTGTCTAGCACTGCCTGCCTAAAACTCACTATGTAAATCAGTTTGGCCTTGAACTCATAAATATCCACCTGGCCTTGTCTCCTGGGGCTGGGATTAAAGGCATTTGCTAGACTTGGTTCATTTCTTAGTATTTCTTTTTTTTTTCCTTAGTATTTCTTAATGTGGATTTTGTACTTGAAAATTTTGAATAATAGTTTCCATTTCATCATTGTAGATCAACTGCCCAACACACTGTGGAGTGGGACTCATCTGCCTTGTTGCTCTTTCACAGTTAAATAATAAAGTACTTGAACTGAATTGTCAATAATTTTCTTTCAAATTGTTTGAGAGTTCTCTTCTGTCTCTGATACCTATGTTGATTTCTTTTAAGATATTCTATCACCAGAACAGAGGAATTTACAAGAAGAATGGCCAGGAGTGTGGTGGTGGTGGTGGTGGTGTGGGTGCTATAATTAATAAGAAAAAAAATAACTATTTGTTCTAAGTGGGAGTAATGTCAAAGACACATGAAAGCCCAGTGATGGCATAGTTTCTGTGGATCCATAGTTCTTAATTAATAGTGATGACTAATGTTGACATTTCTTTACATAATAAAATCTGATTGTATGTTTGTACTTATTTCTTATATTCTTTGTCTAAACTAACATATGTTTCAGATTAGAAATTAGATGCTATTTACCAAAGAGACAGGATCCTAAAAGGATGTTTTTGGTTTTGTTTCCTGGACTTTTCCAAATATTTTGTTTTCAGAAGCAACAAAAGAAAAATTCTTCAAAGTTTCAATTCACACCTTTTAAAGATAGGTATAAATATTCATTATTCCAAAATGGGATTTATTTCACTTATTTGTTTTAGGTTTTTGGCTACTGACAATTGTACCAAGATGATTGTCAGCTTTTTAAAAAATAAGCAATTACCTATAGTAATGAGTGGTCTTGATTACACAAATGCAGATTCTGAGAAACAAAGTCGGCCAAGTCATGAAAATATTGGCTTCATCAGAAGTCAAACCAAATCATATCAATGCCATCTTAAAACTCAGAACCACCCAAGACACTCAGAAAAGAATTTTAAAGTAAATTAATTTTTAAGTGACCTCATTTGTGACTGGTGATGATGAAAAATAACTTGTTTATCATGGTTGACTATTTTATTATCAGCATCTAGATGTATTAAGGGAAAACAAAGAAACAATTTGGCCATAAATGTTTTACCCTAGAAAATGTTTATATTGTCAAATTTTAGAATTCATTTTCCCCTCCAAGTTAAACGCTCATTCAAAAGGAGACAGGATTTGTTCCATGAAAGGATGTTATAAAATTATTATTTTGCTACTTGTAGTAGAGAAGGTGAGTTAATATTAAAAATTGTCATTATTAAAGTAAGTCCTTCTCACTATGCTTATTGCTACATGGCAAGCTATTCCAAGCTTAGTAGCATAGGACAATAATTTATTTGGTTTATAAGGAATCTATAACCAGGTTGACTTGCTAGGCCTTTTTCTCTGCTCCACACAGTTATCTGTTGATAGAGTAATGTTAAAAATGATCTCTTCACTCACATGCTAAACCTCATGTGGTGTTTGGGTGATGGCTAATCTCATCCATGAACTTCATCTCTCCCCATGTCTCTTCTTGGATGTCTGTCTTGAATTTGTCTGTAATAGCACAATAGCACTTCTCATGTAACATCTAGCTTGTGAGGGGAGACACACACGGTAGACGCTCTTATCATGCTCCTGTATCTCAACTTTCTAGGTTCTTATTGGTAAGATTGAGGTATATTGATTAAGTTTAAAGTAAACATCAGAGACAAGTATATCAGATCCTATGTATATACTAGAAGAAATAACCTACTAGGGATTAGTATAAAGATCTATCTTGAGAAATCTTCATGCCAGAAATACTGTAATCTTGCTCAGAGTATGTATATATATATATATATATATATGCATATGTATATGAATAGCACACTTTGAATCCACCTTATTTCTCAGAATAATTCACCCAAATTAACTCTTAGCAATCTAGACTTTTTGCCATTCCAAATGTGACCTATATGGAACTTTTATCGATCCAAAGGGATTTTTCCATACCTGACTTTTCCCATAATGATTTATGAATGTTTGTTTTTACAGGTAGAATGTTTTCGCATCTATTTATATTTGTAACTTACATATGTTCTCTTTTGCTTTTTTACTGCAAGATTTAAAAACTTTTAAAGTGCAATGCTGATATTTTTGTCCACCTCAATTATGTTTATAATTTCTGTTTCTTATAGAATATCCTCGAACAGAATCAGAATGGGAAAACAGCTTTGCCTTGAAGATGTTTCTTTTCCAATTTGTCAATCTGAACAGTTCTATCTTCTATATTGCTTTCTTTTTGGGAAGGTGAGTTAACTTTACACACCGTCAGTACCAGGAAGAAAACAAAACACAAACATCTTCACTAGGTAACAGAAGTGGAGAAATTTTAAACTCTGCCTTATAATATTGTGTAATAGATTTTACATGCATTCTTACTCTGACAGTACTACCAATTGAATTTTGCACACACATGAGTGACAGAGAGAGAGAAACAAATAGAATACACTAACTATAAATTATCATTTAATTATTATTTTGTTTAGAAGAAAATAATTTTATGTATCCCTGGATCATGTGTTCTTGGTGTGTAAACCAGGAACCTCCTTTTATTTAAAATTTCAGAAAAAATAAAATATTAAGGAGCCTATTTTGCCATTTGGTTAACCCTCCATCCACATGGTGCCATGGGAACTTTGAGAAACTAGAAAAATTTTGAACAAAACCATTCAGTACATTATGATGATATTCATTAAGCTGGCCCACGCATTATTGAAATCTACACGGAACAAAGTATTAAATGTCATCATATTGATGTATCTACACTTTCTCTACTCATTGGTACTGAATTTGTACATCACTTTCTATTTTTAAAGTCAGTTACTTTGATGTTGTTTAAGCATAGAAAATATCAACTATATGGGACAAATTGCACCAGTGAACAATTATGTCTACCCACACAAGCACTCTGTGTGATGCGTCAGCAGGTGAACTTCACTTAATTGCTAATTAATTCAAACACTCTTTACAGATTCGTAGGCCACCCAGGAAAATACAATAAACTTTTTGAGCGATGGAGACTGGAGGAAGTAAGTAACCCCATGAGAGTGGGTGTGCGGATGGATATGGATTCAGGCCAGTGACTGTGGGAGGTAATAGGCTGGGGAGGGAAGATGTCCAAGAGAGTTAGAGGCAAATTTTGGAAGAGAAGAGATTTTTGTGTTAAAATGGAAGCAGCTACATTTATACATAAAAAATGACGCTTTTAGACCAATATTCTGGTCTCTTCTCTTATTACTTCTTAAATTGTGTTTCTTGTTTGTTTTCTACTTATAAGTTCCACAAATATGACTCCATAATTTTACTCATTTTGGAAAAGTATTATCATCTATTGAATGAGTTTCCAAATATAAATATGTTAGGTTTCCTTTGATGAAAAGAAAACATGAAATAGTCATCTATAAACATGTGTGCACAGGTGCTGAAAGCCCTTATTTCTTTATTGATTTACAATACATATGATAATACAGAGAAACACGATGGAGGGGTAGGTTCACTATATCTCATGGGTCTTCACTGAGGCTGGGAAATTGACCTTCACAAAGTCAGCAAGTCCTGAGTATACAGTCTCCTTGTGACACTTTGACTAACACAAGCATTTAGAAAGGATCTACTTTGTGAAAGGATGTTGCCCTTTGATTTTGGTTCCTTCAGAGGCAAGGGAGTTGAAAACTAATATTTTTTGTCTATGAGTGCAGGGATTAAAGGCGTGTGCCACCAACACCTGGCTATTTTCATATCTTTTTATAATATTAAAATGATATTTTCTCATTTTACAGTTCCACTTCCTCACCTCCTTGTGCTCTCCCCACCTTCCCCCCACCTCACCCCTCATCCACTCCTCAGAGAGGGTAAGGCTTCCCATGGGGAGTCAAGGAAGTCTGTCACATCACTTTGAGGCAAGACTAAGGCCCTTTCCTCTATATCTAGGCTGAGCAAGTTATCCCTTCAAAGAGAATGGGCTCTGAAAATGAAGGGAGAAACAGTTCCAGTCTCTCTCTATATATATAAAAAATTGTTCCTCAAAATCACAGGGAGGCCTCATTTATGTTCTTTCCAGACTGTCCCAGAAATTATCTCTGTACATGAATGAAGTCTAAAACTTCCTCAGAATACATGCTTTGCAATAAAATAAAGCTGAGCTCAAAAGTTAATTACCTTTGCAATTTGTTCCTTGCTCTTAATTCATCATTCATGACTATCTGATTCTCAATGCTAAATTGGTAGTAGTAATAATTATGTTGTCAAGTTATTTATAGATAAGAATTAATTTACAATACACAATAAGAACAACCATAGACTATGGGAATATTTTCACAAATTGTTGCTAAAATTCATCACTATTACAGCTCCATAGCTATAGCCAAAGACAGACAAAGGCTAATTGTCATGATACCTTCTTATAGGACCAACACTTGAGAAGATGAAAACTGAAGAAGACAAGTTGAAGGCAAACACTGAGTGCATAATCAACCCAAATCTACATAGGTTTTTACAAATTAAGATATTGGGGGTGAGGTGGAAGGAAACACTAAGACCATTCATAATCCTGGGATTGCCTGGAGGTCTCAATTTTATTTTCAGTTTTATTTTATTATGCTTATTCATATGCCTATTGATTTATTTTGTTGTTATTTATGACCAGGAATTATGCCCACATCCAACAAAAGTCTGATTACCCTGGTCATCCACTTAGTAACTTAACGCTTACTTCATCAAAAGATTCTGGTTGAATTAGTAAACCTAAGTTAGGAACAGGGTGATTATAAAAACATAGATGCACATTGGTGCCCTTGTAGGAGCTGTCACTACCATTACTATTGTTCAAATATATATTATTATCTTAATTATGAAATTGTGGTAAATTTTGATTAAGCATTGAAAAATGCAGAAAAATAATTATAAAACTGGTGTCATAAAAATGTCTCATAATCCTCCTACACATTTTCTATTATAGATGAGATATCTGGTGGCTATATTTACCCACAAAGGACTGAATGTTCTAGGAAAAAATAAAATTAGTATTCTCATTTATGACACACCTTAGAAATCTCCAATTATGAAGAGAGTATGAAAATTAAGGTTATTGACTCAGAATTCCTTTGCATAAGAAGCAAGGATGAACACAGGCTAAATAGTAGGCTTCTGATGGAGAATTTTAAAGACAATCTCATTGACATATTTGATTCCATTAATGATCATGAAGAATAGGATATGATCATAAATGAACAAATGTTTTGTCCTTGGGTTCATGATAGTCTGTGCCACAATTTCCCATCCAGAGGAAGATCTTATCTGAGAATCTCAGTTCCTTCCTTTTTGAACTTGCAACAAGAAGAGGTAGCACAGTATTCTCATTTGTGAAATTTAGTTAAATTACGCATTTCAAATAAGAGGCACAATTGATAGGAACCAGTATAAAGAAAGAAAAAATAATACAATCTGTCAGAACTTTTATGAAGTGGTGATTTGCTGAGATGACCAACTGAATTACTAGCTCACAGAATGTGTTGGCTTTAGAGTAAAAGTTCTAAATTAGGTGAAGTGAGGGATCATGGAGTCTGACAGTCCTGTCTAGTCCCTAACTTCCTCAAAGAAGGTATATGACTAAAGGATACTCAGTCTCCCTCCCACCTTCTCTACACACATTCTCACCAAAAATGTGATGAAAACACTGGACTTTGGTTTGCTCAGAGATGCCTATGCCTTTTGCACATTCATCCATGACCATTTATGCAGCCTAATTATGGAATGTTTCAACAAATGAAGTTTAGAGTATTTTAATGACTGGCTTCAAGGCCGTCAGTATGTGAATTAGACAGACTAACAAAACCCAATGTTCCTTATTGTTCTCCATAAAAAAGATAAAGATATTTATAAATTACACAATTCTTCAAAGCTCAATTTTAACAAATTTGTTGTTGATTTGCCTTTTAACTTTGACCTACCCTTTACCGCAATAATTCAATCATATATTTCCCATTGCTTTCTTTCTCCTGTCCCTTTATAATACTGCATGCATGCCAAGCCTGCTCTCAAAAACAACTGACATATTTGTTAAATAGAAATATCCTTAGAGTGATGCACTGTGAGAAGGGGATGAAAGTATTCTTTTCTCAGACTGAGCAAGTTAAGGTGCCTCCAAGTGTCTCTGCACAAATGAAGAACCATCTTGTTGATCTGTGATTGTCCTCTGTATCTTAGTGATTCAGTTTCTCACATTCTACTGAACACACTCATAGTACAAATTGAGAAAGAAGAGGGGGGTCATACATTCATTCTAAAAGGGAGAGGTGACCTAGCATAATCAAATCTGGACCCTACTTTGCCATGAATATGGCCATGGGCAAACCTACTCTGGTTCAGATTGTTGAGCTACTGGGCTGGAACGGGAAATGCTGGCTCTTTTATGTCTTAATTATTCATTCCTTTTGAAGTCCCACTAGTACCAATTTGACAGAAATAGAAACTATGATCAAAGTCATAGGAACACTCATCCTCATGAGCAGGACATGATCCCATTTCTAAAGACCCAGACTCACATTTTCCACCTGAATTACTTTTATAATGCAGTTTCAAGCAGCACATACTGGTTGCTGTATTAACTTAAGTCGCATTGTGTGTGTGCGTGTGTGTGTGTGTGTGTGTGTATTTCATACCAGCTTATTGAAAATCTAAACAACAACAAAAAGTTAGCACAGAGAAACAAAAACTTCATAAAAACCCAGATAATGAGACCTGCATGGTCCAGTAATCCTCAAAACTTTTTGAGGTTACAAAAATGCTGTCTGAAAGAAAAGAAAATGAGGACACATGAAAGGCATGCAATGCAGTATGCTGGCTGCCTTGCTCAATAGTCCTGGAGGAGAGGGATAAAACAGCGATCACAACTGCAGTTTATTGAATTCCAACTCACTGCTTCTAGTTTCTTAGCATAGAGCTGAGTGGGGATAAATATGTGGGAACTTACTAAAATGTCTGAATTTTTCCAGAAAATCTAAAATTATTTAGAAATGGAAAGATCCTTTAAAAAGTAGTAAACACTGTATCAGAATTATTTTTCTAACACCTTAGTATTTGTGGATGTAGAACATTTGTTAGCTTTCACTATATGTCATCATGATTGACAGTGGAAGGCAGCAAGTACTCGCTAGAAGCCCAAATTTCACCACCATTACTAATAGAGTCATTGTACCTGCTTCCATTTTTACATGAGAAAATGTGACCCTGATGTAAAGTTTACTTTGCAATTTAAAGTTGGAGATATTTGAACCAGCTTGGGATGCAGGGGAAGAAGCAGGATCCTTATGGCTCTCACTGTTCTATTTTAGTGCCATCCTAGTGGCTGTCTGATAGACCTCTGCCTCCAGATGGGAGTCATCATGTTTTTGAAGCAAATATGGAACAACTTCATGGAGCTGGGATATCCGTGAGCATGCTATCTTTAGACATGTCTTATATATAGTTATAATTCAGGGTTCGTGAGCAGTGAGATGATTGGTCAGCTCCCACTCTGCTCCTTACACAATGTATGATTGCCTCTAAGTTTAGGCTTTCTGAGTCTCAAAATTTTCACATCTTTGAGCAGAGATAAATGGTGCTATGGACTTCAGGACCAACTGATGGGATTAAAGGAACTAACGTACATGAATACTAGTTCAGCTTGTTAACTATTTTTAAAGCATTAATAAGACAGAATTTTGAAAATAAGGAAAATTTTCTGGTGTCTTTGAGTTATCAACAGATATATAGTGATGTTGACATTACTGGTAAATAAAAAGGGTGTCCTTTCCTTCCAAAATGGAACATTCTACCAAAGGATGTTGACCAGAACAAAGTTTGATAGTCCTTTTTTGACGCCTTCCTCATCTTTCCTCTATAAAAATCATTAGAAGCAAATAGATGTGATTATATCCTGTGAAGACATTTTCATATGAGGGAGAAACTGGTTAGCTGATTGATTATATAAATAGATTTACTCATTGATTAATGATATAAACAGGGTTACTCATCAAATTTTACTTTCATTCTTTTTTTCATGTTTTCCTATAAATGACATTCTTGACCTAGTGGTGGATAAGTCATATTAACACAGCAGCATTCTGAATATTGATTAAGCTATGGGGAGATTTAGTGCATGGATTCAGAACTATTTGTTCCTAGTCTGAATTTCTTCTCTGTTCCTTGCTAATTTTGATTTAGAGTTTATGTCATTGGAGTTCATGAGATTTTTTTCTTTCACATGTGAAACAAGTGATTTGCAAAGAATAAATGAAATGACCCAATATAATTTTAATTTTAAATAACAAAACACTTCAAAAGAGTGTGTATTATATACAAATATATATAAAGTATTTCTCTATATATATGTATACATATAGGATATATAACAGATTCAATGAAATCTCTCCTTTATGAAGCCTATGTGAAGACTGATGGGCTGGAGTCACTTGCGGACTTTCTCTGCCCCTTCTTCTCCTTTGCTTATCACTCTAAAATGTAAGGAATGAACCAGGTGGTGGTGGCGCACGCCTTTAACCCCAGGACTTGGGAAACAGAGGCAGACAAATCTCTGTGAGTTCAAGGCCAAACTGGTCAATAGGGTGAGTTTCAGGACAGCCAAATCTACACAGAGAAACCCTGTCTCAAAAACCAAGAACAAAACCAAAATTGTATTGAATGGGCAGTACAGGAACTCGACATCAAGTGGGTGGCACAAGAGTGGATCTGCCATGAGCACTTCTAAAGTTCCATCAGGGTGGAATTGTGGCCAGCCATTGAAGAACAAACAAGGGTCCTTTGATCACCATCATATGTGGTCTGCTGTATTCATTGTTCATGTCTGATACTCATTTAACCATGGTCTTACTAAGACGGTAAGCCTGGGTCATGTATGTCAAAATCTCCAGGAAGAAAGTAAAAAAGATATTTCATATGTATTTTTGAAAGACTTAGGCCTTGTAGGTGAAAACTTATCAGGACTGAATAGATCACCAAAGCAGTGTTTTTCACAATTCTCCATTCAATTAAAACCTTAAGCAAAATCAATGCAAATAAAATTCAAATATGCAGATCTGTGTCAGTTCTAACCTGCCTCACCTTTCAGCCTTTCACATCTTTGTGAGATTCCATGGGATGTTGACTCGAGCACTGCTTCTTCCAGAAGATTCTGAGTCTTCAGTTACTTAAAATTGAGTCTTAGGTCCTATTCACTGAACTATGAAAAATTATGACATCCTAGAGTATCTTCTCAAAGTCTTAAGTATTTTATTACCCAAAAGCCCCTAAGACAACCAGGCTATCTCTAGACTTCACAGTATGATAAGCATTCCCAGCCCAGAGACAGAGTGTTTTCACGACTCCAGGCAATGACTCATAATACCCACTGCCTGACAATTTTCTTAACTATAGTAGCAGACTATTGGCATTAGTGTTCAAGTTTTTCATGTTGATATAATCAAAGAAGTGATTTGACAAGTGAATCCTTCATGCAATGCATGGCAGGATGGAGATAGAACCTAGGATTCTTGAAATCATATTTAGGCCCAGTATTTCATGCAGAACATAATTTTATTCATATCCACATGAACAGCTCCAAAACTGGAGTATGAGCAATAATGGGTTCATACTTAAAGACAGCAGTTAACATAAGAGTTTCTACAAGTGGAGCTGGGAGAGATGATTTTAGCTTAATCAATATCAAGGAATTGCTTAGTTTACTGGCAATGAATTCCTGATAAACATCCAGATGTTTTGAAGGCTTTAGAGAGTTCTAGAACAAGTTTAGTAACTTTCACTAAATCTTCTTAACACTAAACCTTAAAGATTTAAAACTTTGTAAATTTCAGACTTACTTTATTTTCACTTGCTGAAAAGTTAAAACCACAACTATCTTCACTTCCAAGAATACATGATATAGGGAAATTTTAGTCAAAATTTGTTATTTCTTAGTAAAATATGTGTTTCCCACAGATGCTTCAGTAACAGATCACATTTTTTTGGTCTGCTCTCTGATGCAGGTTAATCCAAAACTGGTGGTCACGACATAAAATCAAGCGGGGAATACAGGATGCTTCCATACCACAATGGGAAAATGACTGGAATCTTCAGCCCATGAACATTCATGGACTGATGGACGAGTACTTAGAAATGGGTAAGGAGACGCTTTTCTGCAGGACCATTTGGCCTGGTTGATATTGCTTTTTCTAGCTAACATGAGCTTTGGTTTAAGAGGAAAACAGCAATAATAACTTTTCTTCTTTTGCACCGATCATTCTAAAATATAATTGAATTTTATCCTAACAAAATCAGAGGTATGAGATGCTGCCTGTGTGCTCTCACAGACATTACAGTTAGAAAGCCATGACATTTAGTCAAAATGAAGATGTTCTCAAAATGAAGCCTTTATCTTTTGAGCAATATTCTTTTTGAAATCAGATTTCACTGTGAAGTTAATACTGATCTTGAGCTTGATAAATAGCACAGGCTGGTTTTGAACTCAATCCTCCTGTCTTTGTAGCCCCAGTGCTATAATTATAAGCATGCATCACCACACCAGGATAGTGAGCAAATATTTTGATGAAAATTTTAAAAATCTGGATCTGCTCTTTGTAAAGAAAAATACTATCCTCCTCAAAAAAAATCAAGATTATTTTTAAATAACATTTTTATTAATTCTTTAATATTTCATACAATATATTTTGGCCATATTTACCTCTCCCTCTTCCCCAAACTTTTCCCATATGCATCCTTTCCACAATCTCAAACTCAGTCCAAGTTTCTGCAGGAATGTCATTAATTTATATTAAGAAAATATGGATTCCCAGTCCAATTGTTGAATTATTTTCTGTCCTTCACTATACTCTCCTATAAAAAAGAGGATAGGGTAGTTTATTGGAGATCATTTGGATCCCTGTCAGAGCCTTCAGGAAAATTCTCCCCTTTGCCTGTCTTTTTTATAGTTTCTTCCTCTCCTTTATCCTTCCCATCTTCTCTTTTCTTCTCTCTTTCCGATTAATTCTTTTCCCATCCTTCTCATACTGTATAAAGGCAGGGGAGAAAGCAGATGTTAAATATACCTATATCTGAGATAGAGTAGAGGTTTTTAACATTTTCTAGCCATAAGTTTACTTATCAATAGGAACAAAAGTTTCTTCATCTGTAAAAATAAGAGTATTTACTCAGGTAGAGGTATCATTAAAGGTAATTCATCTAATGCTCCTAACAGGCACAGTGAGGTGCTCAATAGATTTAATTATGTATGTTCATAACTCACTACTGTTCTTGTCTTATAGTTTTGCAATTTGGTTTTACCACCATCTTTGTTGCTGCTTTTCCTCTGGCCCCTCTTTTGGCTTTGTTAAACAATATCATAGAAATCAGATTGGATGCATATAAATTTGTGACCCAGTGGAGGAGGCCTCTGCCAGCCCGAGCAACTGACATAGGTAAGGCTCAGCTTTCCCCTTTTGAGATAGTACATGCAAAATTGCTAATATCTGGAATATGAAACACTATAGTGAAAAAGTAACGAAGCTCTGAAGAAGTGGCTCATCTGTTAAGAGCAATTGTTGCTCTTTCCAATGACCAGAGTTCAAATCTCATCATGAACACTGAGTGGCTCACAAGGCAATCTGATGCCCTCTTCTGCCCCCTGCAGGTACCCAAGTACATGAACAGACACAATAAGTAATACAATATAACCCTTTTTATTTAAAAGAAGTAAATGATATACAGAAATGTGCTCAAAATAAACAGAACATTCTTGATAAAATAAAATAAATCAGAGTTCTTTCATCTTGTTCTTTTTTATTCACTAACTTTAATCTTTCTCCTGCCAGGTATCTGGCTTGGAATTCTGGAGGGAATTGGCATATTGGCTGTTATCACTAATGCTTTCGTAATCGCTATTACATCTGACTACATCCCACGTTTTGTCTACGAATACAAATATGGTCCTTGTGCAAATCATGTAAAGCAGAATGAGAAGTAAGGCTAAAATTTACATATTTTTCCAATCTACTTTATAGCTGCGATTAAAAGGAGTACTTACAGGAAGTTTTTTTTCTGTGACTATTAAAAAGTAATGTTTTTTGTCATTGTATTTATAATGTGTTTATTAGATGAAAGCAAATGGGACTAAGAACAGGACGTAATTTCTACAGCAACTAATTTTAGAGTCTGTTTTTACTTGAAAATGTGTCAAAATGCAAAGAACATTCTAATAGTTCTAGAAAAGTCCAGTTCTAAATCCTGAATAGATTCTGTAGACTCTTCAAACTGGGCAATGCAGTGTCACTGTTATATAGATGGAAAAGTGAAACCCATAAAAAAGGCAACAGAGGCCGGGCGTTGGTGGCGCACGCCTTTAATCCCAGCCCTCGGGAGGCAGAGGCAGGCGGATCTCTGTGAGTTCGAGGCCAGCCTGGTCTACAAAGTGAGTTCCAGGACAGCCTCCAAAACTACAGAGAAACCCTGTCTCGAAAAACCAAAAAAAAAAAAAAAAAGGCAACAGAGATAGTAAAAAGTGAGAAACAGAACCTGCAAATCCTGTCATCTTTGTGCCTGGACATTTTCAGGAAGCGTATAGAGCCAGAGGTCTGACTGATGCAGAATTGCCTCCCTTTATGTGGTTTGTATGTGTTTTCCATTTCAAATTCAAATACATACTTCAAAGTCGGGTAGCCAATCAACCTCTGCAGTACTTACCCTTTTTGTTTTGTTTGGTTTGGTTCTTGACATTTTAATTCAAACACTTCTTTCAAGTCAGGAAGAGGGCTAGTTTGCCCACTGTATGATGATTAGTAGTACATGTCATCTCTAACCAGCTGATACAGTGACAGCTATCCTAATCCATACATTCTGATAACAGTAGGTATCTCTATCTTTGCCTGCTGTCCCCTGGGAGTCACAATAACCAGATATAGACAACCACTTCAGGCAGCATTTGTCATTTCACAGTTTTCCTTTGTATGAGGTATGAGGGGACAATGCATGTGAGAACTAACTATTGAGAACTAGGCACCTTAAAAATCTTTGTAAGTGGATAACAGCCTTAGATGTAAAAGCTGTAGGAAAAGGCAGAAGAGTGAGAACAGCAAAAAGGTATGGATAAAGATCATGGGCCACAACATGAGAAGTCTTGCTTTAAGGATGCCATTGACCCTTACTTAACTAATGGTGAACTGGTATTTCCACAGAACACTGGGAAAGCCCTTGAACACAAGTGTCTCTTCTATTTTAAAGGAGTGGTAATAGAAGCATTGTAATATTTATTGTTTTTAAACATGTATTTGAGTCCTTAAGAGACTTAAAGGGATCCCATGTTAGGCATCTTAAATTTGAGTTCTAACATTGTCATTTGCTAAGATGTACATCATCTTATGACATAGTTAACTTACAATAGTGAGTATTCATGGACTCTACGATTATGAAATGGTGTCAGAAAATACACACAGTGTGAATATAAGGTTTTTTCAACATCTATAGTGAAAAACCAAAATATTGCCTTTTTGCTAATGCAAAATGATATAGGAGCAGATTTAAAGAAATTGAAAAGTATAAGTCAATCACCTCACCCTTTTGTTTAAGATCAGTGGTGAAATAAGTAGAATTGCTGTCTGGTGCCCTTAGTTAAATTACTTGCTAGTAATTCTGTTGCCATCTAGTGGTGGTTGAAAATTCTGCTGTCTGAGTTTACATTTCAGAATCTGCCTTTCCTGTGGACAGCACCTGCCATCTCCATATTCGGTGACCAATTTCAGGTGTAGACTGATTACTTAATAATCTTCTAAGTATACTGAGCAATGAAGTTGGAAAAAATCTATTCAGATTAGAAATTTCAGAGCAAATCATGACAATAGTGGAGAAGAAAATATTGACAAGAAAACATTTGACTGATATTACAAGCTATAGAATGTACAAGGAATACAGTTGCCATTGTTGCATTGTGACTAATATTTCAAAGGTAAAACTGTAGTAGACATGTCCTTGATCCCAGATTTTAGGAAACCATTTTCCTAGGAGAATATTTCTCAGTATAATTTTACACTACATTAAATTATTTATTACATTATTTATAATATTAGTATTACATTATATCATATTATTATATATTATTTGTTTATTGTGTGAAGGTGCACTGGGAAAGTTAGAAGATATGTTGGGGTATTTTCTTTCCAACACACAGGCTCCAGGGATATAACTCAAGTCCTCAGACTTGATGGCAATAAGTTTGACCTGTTAAGCAATCTCAGCAGCCCTCATTAACATTGTGTTCACAGTAGCATAAGACTTTTTTCCCCTTCCAACTTTTTATATTTAGATTGATGGTGCAGCAACAATGGTGATTAAACTTCTGTAGCAGGATGACGCCTGGACAGAATTCACTCTCTAAAAGTAAACTGAATTAAAAAAAAGTAATGGGGAAAATATCAGGAAGAAGTAACAGAACAAGAAGACATGAGACAGAAATAAGAAACCTGAATACTTAAAGTAGGAGGAATAATGGTGTTTATTGCATTCTGTATCTTGTAAAGAAGAAGTAATTCCAGAAATGTTTATGATTTATTTATGATTCACATAGTTGTTATTTTCTCCTAGTTGCCTTAAGGGATATGTCAACAACAGCTTATCCTTCTTTAACCTGAGTGAGCTGGGTATGGGAAAGTCCGGTTACTGCAGGTACTTACCTAAAATGTATTTCTCTTTCCTGCTGCTTTAACCATGTCACCTCCCCATTTACATGTAAAGCAGCTAGTTTGCACTATCACTTTGGAGTTTGGGTAGTCAAGGACGTTTTGCCGTCTTTCATGTTTTCTGTATTTGTGGATTGCAGGTACAGAGACTATAGAGGTCCACCGTGGAGTTCCAAACCCTATGAGTTCACGTTACAGTACTGGCACATTCTGGCTGCTCGATTGGCCTTCATTATTGTGTTTGAGGTTAGTCGCAGGACAAGTATCTGTGGATAACAGATTTGCTGACTGATACATCAGTTTGATGTCAATTCTTCACTGAGTTCTAAGAAAGGCCTTTGGTAGGCCTGGTAAACTCATTATAAAGAAAGTGAAAAAAGTGCTGAATATTGTAACCATAAGTTAATAGTTATTTATATAAGAAAATCAAGGAGAAAGATATTGTCTTGAAAATTTGTGAGGCTGCTAGTTTTGAGCGCCTAGTGGCAATGCCTAAAAATGTAGGGTGGGTTCCTTGAGCTGATAAATAATCCACATCTACCCATGAGGATAGGACACATCTACCCATAAAGACAGAACAGTTTTTATTCCTGAATAAATAACTCAAAATACAACCAATAATACATTTATTTGTTTAAAAAACATTGGGTAACTCTATATTTTGTCCAAAACTTTTATTAAAAATGATTGAACTTATCACAGACACGATAGCATTGAATTGTAATCCTGTGAGTCAATTTTGAGGGAACTGCATGCAACATTATCATCTGGTTTTTATAAGTCATAATACAGGGAAGAATTTAACACTGAGATGTAGTAAGCAACTCCTCTGAGTTATCACTGAGTCAATGCAAAACTTAACATATATTCTCTGGCCAAAGGAGATAGCCATATCTAAAAATTTATTTGTGTTTAGGAAAACCTTCACATGTGTACCAAACTGGTTTCATACTTGCTATTTATCCAGAGTTAGTCTAAAACTCCTGATCCTACTGTCTGTGTCTCCCAAACACTAGAATTACAGGCATGAACCATACCTCCTGGTTCCTATGAATTTAGGGATAGAACCCAGGGGTCTCTGAATGCTAGGCAAACATTCTACTTACTAATGTTGGAAAACCTTTTTAAAAGACAATTATTCATTCCAAGTGATTTCCAAATATAAATTAAAAACTTGTAATGAAATAGCTGAAAATGAAATGCTTGCCTGTGAAAGTCTTAGCCAAGACTAAAATACTCTGATTGGATGACTCTCAGAGTCAATAAAAATACATCCTATTGCCGGCAGTGGTGGCGCACGCCTTTAATCCCAGCACTCGGGAGGCAGAGGCAAGTGGATCTCTATGAGTTCAAGGCCGGGCTGGACCGACAGCCTCCAAAACAATACAGAGAAACCCTGTCTCGTAAAAACCAAAAAAAAAAAATCCTACTGAATGAGACTTTTTACTTCATTGTAGGTAGTATAACAGCTTAACTCATATTTTCAATCCAATATTTCAATAAAATGTTTTTAATATCTACTATTAAAATAAACATATTTTCTATATTCCTCAGAAGTCAAGTGAACAAAGTTAATCAGACACAATTTAGAGTACCACTCATAGATCCATGAGAGATCCTCTTCATTTTTCTTTTTTCATTCCCTATTACTGTTCCCATAACCCCCAATCAACTTCTGTGAAGCCCTTACACTTCTGATTTTTAGAGTATGGTTGTTTGTCTATGTATAAAAATATAGTATCATTTTATGTGTTGTATTTTCCAGCTATAACTGCAATTATTTTTATAATTTAGAGCTTTTTATCTTTTACATATTTTATTTTAGATCTAGGAAGTATTGTCATATAGTGCAATACGTGTTTAGAACACATGCTAATTGTGAATTGTAATCTTAAAACACATGAAATATTTATTGCCATATATTAGACTTTACTAAATCACAGCAATGTTTTCACTTGTATTTTAATAATTTTGAAGAGTGTTATTGAATTTTTAAGTATCATATGTTTCAATGATCAGGAAAGAAAGTCCTGGTTATGCACAGAAAAACATGAACTACTTTATTGGTATTTACTGTGCAATGCAATTTCTTGGTACTCATAAGCAAGAACAAGTAGAAATATAATGAAGTCTTCCTTTTCTCATAAAGAGGTTATTGTTTTAACCAGCCATACTAACCCCACAAATGTCACATTGTTCTGTCTCTTTTCTGAGAAATGGAAAGAACTACCATTCTCTTAGGATATGTATAACAGTAGAAAGTGCCATTTGAGCAAGACTCACACTGAGCCATGCACTCTTTTAAGCTCTTCAAGTGTGTGTTTATTTAGTTCATTTAAGATGTAATATTGTCATCTCTATCATAGACACAGAATGTAGATTAAAATTAGTTATTAAGGCTAAACAGCTACTAAGTGTTAGTAGCATAAATGCTTAATTGATTTCATTCCAATTCTGAGCCTTTTCTTACAGGTATAATGCCCTTTGAATTACATTTAGTTCTTCAAGTCTAACACTAAAACTGGGTGTGGTAGTTCACATATTTAATTCCAGCACAATCTACCCAGAGGAGGGTAGATTTCTATCTGTCTACAAAGAAAGGTATAGGCAAGGCTGACCAGAAATACACAGCAAAATTACTTCTCAAAACAAAAAATAACAATGACAGTTTATTTTTTTCCTTGAGCTTGAAGGTAATTTATTTTATTTTATTTTACAGACAGTCTTATTTAAATATCCATCTCCCATTCCCTCACCCTAACATCATCCCATGCTTCCCACCAATCCCCCCCCCAACCCACCAACCACCCACTCCCCAGAGACAGTGGGAACCTACAGGGTGGATCATCAAAGTCCAAAGTACATCACATCATTTGGAGGAGGGCCCAAAGTTCATTTGTGACCTAGGAATAAACACTGGCTTCACCGTTATAGGTTCCATAGACTGTCTTGACCTCCTTGCTGGCATCCACATTCAGAGGCCCTGGTTCGGTCTAATACTAGGTCCCCTGCTTTATGACTAGGGTCTGTATGCTCTCCTTAGATCAGGTCAGCTGTTTCTGTGGGTATCTCCAGTTCTGTCTTGGTTCATTTGCTCATCTTTCCTCCTTCTTCACAACTGGATTCTGGGAGAATGTCTCGGTGCTCAGCTGTAGGTGTCTGTCTCTGCTTCTATCAGCTACTCCGGCAAGACTCTAGGGGTGGTAACCAAGGTAACAATCTCAATATAGGGGAAGGGCATCAAATTCAGCCTCTCCACCACTGCCTAGATTCTTAGTTGGGATCATTCCTGCGGATCCCCTACCATTTCCTCTGTGCCAGACCTCTCTCCAAACAAGTACTGGCTCCCTTTATCATGGCATCTCCTTTCTTGCCCTTCTCTATTCCTCCCTGTCTCAGTCCTCCTGTTCTCTTCCCCCCTTCTTCCGCCCTTCCCTTTCCACCTCTTTCCTCTCTCCCCCGTGCTCCCAATTAGCTCAGGGGTTCTTGTCCCCATCCCCTTCTTCAAGGGACCATGCATCTTTTTTCTCTTGGTGTTCTCCTTCTTTCCTAGCTCATCTGACAGTGTGAATGGTAGGCTGGTAATCCTTTGCTCTATGGAAATCCTATGCTCAAAAACCATATATAAGTGAGTACATACCATGTTTGCCTTTTTGTGACTGGGTTACCTCACTCAGGATGGTTTCTTCTAGTCCCATCCATTTGCCTGCAAATTTCAAGATTCCATTGTTTTTTTTCTGCTGAGTAGTACTCCACTGTGTAAATACACTACATTTTCTCTCTCCATGCTCAGTTGAGGGGCATCTAGATTGCTTCCAAGTTCTGGCTATTACAAACAATGCTGCTGTGAACATAGTTGAACATATGTCCTTGTTGTATGGATATGCATTCTTTGGGTATATGCCCAGGAGAGGAATTTCTGGAGCTTAAGGTAGGCTTATTTCCATTTTAGTCAGAAAGCATTGTACTGATTTCCAAAGTGGTCCTACAAGTTTGCACTCCCGCCAGGAATGGAGGAGTGTTCCTCATTCTCAACATCCTCTCCAGCATAGACTGTCATTTATGTTTTTGATTTTAACCATTCTGGCCAGTATAAGATGGTAACTCAGAGTTGTTTCAAGTTGTATTTCCCTGATGGCTAAGGGTGTTGAGCACTTTCTTAAATGTCTTTCAGTCATTTTAGGCTGGTGAAGATCTTTTCCCATTCTGTGGACTGCCATTTTGTCTTGCTGACTGTGTCCTTTGCCTTACAGAAGTTTCTCAGTTTTTGTCTTGCAGAAGTTTCTCAGTTTCAGGAGGTCCTATTTATTAATTGTTGATTTCAATGTCTGTGTTACTGGTGTTTATGTTCAGGAAGCTGTCTCCTGTGCCAATTTGTTAAGGGTACTTCCCACTTTCTTCTTAAGAGGTTCAATGTGGCCGGATGTATGTTGACGTCTTTAATCCATCTGGATTTAAGTTTTGTGCATGGTGATAGAAATGGGTCTATCTGCAATCTTCTACATGTCTGCATCCAGTTATGCCAGCACCATTTGTTGAAATGCTTTTTTACCCACTGTATAACTTTAGCTTATCTGTCAAAAATCAGGTGTTCATAGGTGTGTAGGTTAATATCAGGGTTTTAAACTATTCCATTAATCTACCTGACTATTTTTGTGCCAATACCAAACTGTTTTCAGGACTACAGCTCTATAATAAACTTTGAAGTCAGGGATGGTTAATGCCTCCAGACGTTCCTTCATTGTACAGGGTTGTTGTGGCTATCCTGGGTTTGCTGTTTTTCCATATAAATTTGAGAATTATTCTTTCAAGGTCTGTGAAGAATTGTGTTGGGATTTTGATGGGGATTGCATTCAATCTGTAGATTTCTTTAGGTAAGATTGCCATTTTTACTATGTTGATCCTACCTATCCAAGGGCATGGGAAATCTTTCCATTTTCTGGTATCTTCTTTAATTTCTTCGTTTAAAGACTCAAATGTTCTTACTTTACAGGTCTTTCACTTGTTTAGCTAGTGTTACTCCAAGATATTTTATGTTGTTTGTGGCTATTGTAAAGGGTGATGTTCTCTGATTTCTTTCTTAGCCCATTTATCATCTGTATATAGTAAAGCCACTGATTTTTTTTTCTTTTTTTTTCAAACATTTTTTTTTAATTTTAAATAGCTTGTTTTACATGTCAATCCCAGTTCCCTCTCCCTCCCCTCCTCCCGCACTCCCCTTCCACCCTCCCTCCCACCCTATTGCC